TGAGCAGCCTTAGCATATCATTAGCATATTATGCTTTGATTTGTTGAACGTCTGACCGGACACTTAGCATATTAGGCTTTTATTATTTAGGATTGGGGTTATGATAAGTTCAATTCATATTTTTGGAGGAATTTTATGTAAGATATCAAATTTTTATGTATAAAATTGTCCATTCCAATATTACTACTTTTTATGTAGAATATTTAGTTATATCCTATTTCATTCATCATATTGATAATTGTTTTTCTGTCAGTCTTGCTAGATGTTTGTCACTTTTATTAATTTTTTCAAAGACCTATATTTTTGTTTTGTTGATTTTGTGTTTTAAATTTTATTAATTTCTGTTTCTATCTCTATTATTTCCTTCCTTCTGATTTTTTCTTTTCCTTTTTACTCTTCTTCTTCTGTATTTGAAGTGAGTTTCTTATTGACAAAATAAAGTTGGTCATGTTTTTAAATCCAGTCTGATAAACTGTGTTTTACTTGGTGTATTTATATTTAATGTTTAAATTTATCATATTTTCATGTCATATTAATTTATTAACTATGCTGTTAATATACAATACAATTAACATCGCATGAGGATGTTTTTATCAGTGGAAAAATACTCATAAAAAGGCTGTTTTTTGAGATAGAATTGACATTTAAGGTTTTGTCATTTTAGTTTTTGTTTTCTGCTTATTCCTTCTGTTTTTGTTTGTTTCCTCTGACATTATTAAGAAATCTCTCTCTTTAAAACTTGGTATCTCTAATCTCTGTCTTTGCCTCAAGCTCCTAACCTATTATCCTCAATAGCATCACCACAAGACTTCCTCAGTGACCAGTAATCATGACTATTGTTATGGTTTAAAAGTGATCTCAATTAAACACCATTATTTTCTCATTTCTAAATTTAATAGACTCTTTATGGTCCTTTCTGCAAACAGTGACCCAGGTTTTTCCTAAAACTCTCTTCTGAGACTGATTTCTTCAGAAGGCCATCTGGAATCTTCTATGACTCCAATTCTTCCTGCTCAGTACTTTTCTCCGTCTTCCCCAATGTGGGTATTGCCAGTGATTCAACCCCTCTCCTCAGCTGTCACTTGCACATGATCAATTCCCAAACCTCTATCTCTTCCTATACTTCTACCTCTGTCTTAAACTTTGTAATGGCATTTCTGAACTCTGTAATGTACCCTGTACCATTTTCAATGGGATGTCTTTTAGTATCTCCAACTTAGCAAGCATGCAGCCTTCTCTACCACCACCCTCCTGCTACACCCACCCTTGGGAGACATTACTAAAATACAATTTATAAGCAAAGAATTAATGCCTGGCTGGCATGGCTCAGTGGTCGACCTATGAACCAGGAGGTCTTGCTTAAATTCCCGGTCAGGGCACATGCCCGGGTTGCAGGCTTGATCCCCAGTCTGGGGCATGCAGAAGGCAGCTGGTCAATGATTCTCTCTCATCACTGATGTTTCTCTCTCTCTCTCCCTCTCTGATTATCTATCTATCATCTATCATCTATCCTATCTATCTCTGATTATCTATCTATCATCTATCATCTATCTATTATCTATATCTATCTATCTATCTATTTATCTATCTATCTATCTATCTATCTATCTATCTATCTATCTATGAATTATAATCGTGGAACTAATTTTAAAAGAAAATAAGCAAATGTGAAAATTTCAATCTCTGTGCTGCTGAGCTGTCTCAGACAGGCAGAATTTTTTCAAGAACAGCATAGATGCTGATTATCATGACCTGTATTTTCAGGGCTAGGGAATTCTTTCAGTTCTTCCACCTTAACTGGAAACGCCTTTCAAGAAAATTACCTCTCTTTGTTCTTTAAGCTCTGGAGGCAACTTTGTGATCCATAATTAGATTGAACAAAAGGCAGATGTCTGTTATTGTGACTGGGGTATAGCTGTTACATACTCATAAAGTAGCATTCTAGTTGGTAAATGATTCTCTTGTCAGTTCGCTTCATGTGAGTCAGTGCCCCAGAGTCGGTGAACTCTAGGTGAACTGTTCACAGATCAAGTGTCTGGATCTGTAAAACCAAAGACCAGCCTCTGGACTGTAGTGGTTGAAAATAGACCATGAACCTGAGAGGTGAGGCCCAACTATGGAGGTCAGCAGACTCTTCTTGATATATTTTTAGCCGTACACTTTGCCTTACATATCCTTGTCCCACACAGTGCATATCGCAGTGCAAAGCGTCAAAGAGTTCAATTCTTGTTTATCATCTGACGTCAGATGGTCAATGGAGTTTCCAAAGAACAATGTTAAATGCATTCAATCCCACAATGAGAATTTCTAGGAGACTAACTCTCAGTCCCACAATGTGAATTTCCAGGACGCCCACAAAGCTCCCATGGTGTGAAAGACAATAGAAATAGTAATATCAATAGAAACAGAAATAATAAAAACAACAAAGAAGCACATGAAGTGGCAAAATCCATAACAGCCTCAAGAATGGTATGTTTACCACTTATTGAGTGTGTTCTTTGGTAGGTGCTCTGCCTATTTTATTTCATTTAATTCTCCCAACATTCTATGAGCTGCAAATTATTCCTACTTAGTTGAGGAGCACACAGCCAAGGGGTTTTTAGTCATTTGTCTATGGTCCACAAGTAGTAAGTGGCAGAGGTGGGTTCAAATCTAAGGCCCCAAAGCCAATGCCCTTAAGCATAATGGACATTTGCAGTTTTGCTGTGAACTGTTCACACCAGAGGGAATAGTATGAAGAATTAAGCTGTCAAAATTTACATAAATCTGAGTATCAATTATATTGTTTAAAACTACAAATAGCCATCCTTACAGGTAGGCTATCTGTTGCTTTAATAGTTTCTTTGAGAAAGGTGTAGTGTAGTTTTTGACCAGGTTCTCCATTAAGAAATCAAAAGTCGAGTGAGACCCAAGTTACAAGTACATAAATATGTGCTGTGTTGCGTGTGTGTTTCTGAAATTAAAATCACAAGCTGACTCACTGAGTTATTGACTCTGTTCTACCCGATTCTATTTGTTTTGGTAGAGTGCTGATCATAACTCACTCTCCTGATGTCCTGACACACTCACGGGTCAAGTTCGCAGTTTGAAGAGCCCTGGCATGTGGGAGGAATGTTTTCATAGGCGTGAAAACCCTGAGTCCTTTGCTAACTCCACCTGTGAAAGTGAAAACCTGGCTCTCCCCAGCACACCGAGGTGATGGGATTGAATTACCTTTCTGTTTGAATCTAGCACCAGGGAATTTCTGCCTTCACGCAGGTGGTTTCTCATCAGGTAATCAGGCAGGGCTGCACATTTTCCCCCTTCTGGGCAGTACTGATTGCCCCCACTACTTCCCACCCCCTTATCCATGTCTATTTTCAAGGGGCTGCAGCCTTCTCAGCCCAGGGACCTGTGTCCATCCACAGCTGTCATTCGGACCAGGACCGTCGGTCCCAGCAACAATGCTGGCTGGGCATGTCAGACCCCAGGGTCCACCTTACAGCAATATAACCTTGAGACTTAAAGCAAGTCAACAGACTATTGACATTAACATGGATTTCTAGTGGCATCTGTTTTGTCTGTAATGCCACCTTCTATCAGACTCCTAAACCATAACAGATCTACTTTGAATTTAGGACAAGCTTTTTGTACCGGGAAATGGAAACTCATCATATTTGGGAGCAAAATTCTAAACCTCCTGCAAAGGGAGTATAAACTTACCAGTACGTTAAAGTACAAGAGAAAATTTAAAGGCATTATATTTACTTGTGGAGAGAGAAGGTTCTCTGACTCCAGTCCCAAAATTACTTTGAAAATAAAAAGGTGCTCAAAGATTTATGGTAAAATCTTCTTAACCCAGAAAGATAATTATCTGTATAATTTCTATGTGTGCACTAAATAAATGCATGCGCGCACACACACACCCACACACACACACACCTCTCCGAAAGCTGATGCTAATAAGTGAGGATTCCCAAGTGGCATGTAACACATGCTTAATAAACAAAAGTTGAATGAAGGAGTTGTATTGTTATCACCACTTAACAGATGAGGGAATGAAGGCTGAAAGGCTCAACTATTGCTTAAGCAAGTACAGTTAGTAATAGCCCAGGATGGGGTATCTGTCTTTAAACTAAGCATTGTTTTACTATCACCTCTCAAAGGTGAGGCTCAAAACTCAATCAGCTTCTTTGTTGTTATCTCTCAAAGTGAGCTGAGAGCCAGGACTGACACTTAACAACTGTGTTAGATCCTGAAACTTTGGTTCTTCCTTGTAAGGTATAAAATCACTGTTTTTACTACTGGGGAAACATTATAACTGAAGTTTTCAAAAATAAAGTCTGAATGACAACACAGACCAAAACAATCTCTCCATTTGCCATGGATTAATGGTGGTGGACAGAGACTTGGCTTGGCTGGTGAACACACGATACAGATACAGTGTACAGGTGATGTATTGTATAATTGTGCTCCTGAAACCTGTATAATTTTCCTTAACCAGTGTCACCGACTGCGCACTTGCCTTCTAACACTAAGGAAAGAAACAGTAATGCCTTCAGCGTGCTTTCATCTCATAAACACATTTTCATTGCACAGCAGATGTGTATTTTTTAATAAGCTTGAGAGAAGCAGGCAATGTAGACTAATAAACAGAAACCACAAAGGGTTCTTAGTATGATTACCCCCAAAGATTACAAACTAGAGAAAAGATTACAGCTAATATTTGAAATACAGAACACTAGTATGGGAAATATTTATTAAGGTTGCATTTCGTATTTTCCTCAAAGATTAGGTCACATTCCTGTGAATAATCTCAAATAATGGTAATCTTGCCAATTATCTTGTACCAGGATTAGTTCTTTAACACTTTACTATATTACAGTCCAGGCTACACCTTAAGAAATGCCTGCATTAATTCTATACATCCTATAGGATTTGCCAGGTGGTATAATAGTACATGTCAAAATGTGGGGAAACCTGTGAGTATTAACACTATAATAACATAGAAGCCATCAGACCACATTTCATAGTTTTATTGAGACTTTTCAGCTTTAATTGTCTATGGTAGATACAATCATATCAAGGCTCTGCTGTTATTATCAATAGCAGATGCAAAGTTGGCTGCCATGCCTTACACACACACACACACACACACACACACACACGATATTGTTCATTCCTGCATGCAAACGTATAGGAAATGTACATTCCTTTTATTAGAAACACAATTGTGCACAATTAGGTTTGGAATTTGTTAAGCTACCATTGATTTAGATAAACCTGAGAAAGCTCAAAAAGTCAAGTAACACTGTTTCCATACTGCTCATTCAATATCACTATTAATCACAAGGAAACCCAGTTCAATTATCTATATTAAGTCACAGATAATATAAAAATAAACATTTTTGCAAAAGCACAGTCTACAATTCAAATTCACAAATTTTGATATGTCACGTATATCCCCCTTCATATTAATTTGTAATGACGTGTATAATACAATGTACAACAGAATAAAAATGTAACAGAATTCAGCAGCCAAATATAATATGGTTATCACTATTAACACCTGGAATTAAAGTTATCAACTGAACAAATGAAACAGATTAAAATTAATAGCAGTGTTAAACTTGCTGGTAGTGTGTTACTTAGAAACCCCATCTCAAAGAAATTAAGATTCTACTATTTCACCTTAAAAAGGAACACAGCACAAAAATTTAAGCAGAACTAAGCACAGTAACTGATTACACCAGCTGTCTCCTCTCCCCATCTCCCTAAAGTTTTTCTCTAAATTCTAATGTTGCTTCGATAGTGCCCAACCCACCAGACTTCTAAGTGAATCTACTTTGAAGTTAGGACAAGCATTGCATTGGGAAATAGAAGCTCTGATCATATTTGAGGGTACAATTCTAAATGTCCTGAAAAGACAATATCAACTTTTCTATAATGTTATATACAGACCCAGATGTTTTCTATTTGCTATTGATCTAATAATAGTTTGACACCAAATTGTGTCTGTATAGAAAGAACCCTAAATAAAAAGTTAAATGTGCAAAAGAGTAGCTAGAGAAAATTAATTATATCACAAAACAGATTTCCCTATTTTAAATTAAAAAAAAATCTGAAGACAAAAATTTCAAGATACTACTATTTGAAAAGCATCATAATATACAATAATTCATTTTATGTATGTGTCATTTATTATGCAAATATACCAGTGCGACATTAATATTGTACATTGTAATAAATATAATTTACACCAGTATGTGGAATCTTTCAAGAAAGTCTTTCAATCTGTACAACTGAAGAACTGTAAGCTTCATTAATAAATACTATGATAGCTACAATTTGACCAGCAAAGTTAAAGCTTCAATAGATCTCTTACTAGTTATACATCTTTCTTGTCACCAGTCCAATTCCAGCCGCTCTAAGCACTGATATCTTTTGTATCCAAAGGCAGTGTAGTGTACTGCCAGCGTAGATGAGCAAACTTACAGGACATAGGTCCACATCACAATTTGAACTTTGTAAGAATTTTTAGCCAAGACCTGGAATTGAAGAATTCTGTAAAGTACAGTAGCAGATTTCATACATCGCTGTCTGTCTGTAGTTTTAATGTTTCCACATCCCCCAAAGCCCCAACAGATAGCTGTTATCCAACCTTTTTATTCCAAAGAATGGTCTTGAAAGGGTCAAGAGTTCCGTTGCTGGCCGAGTGACAATGTCATGGTTATAACTCTGAATTCTACACTCATGCTGTAATCTCTTCCTGGTTTGTCTTTTTTATCATTTCAATGCAAACTTGTTCATGTTCTCAGAGTCAAAGATATAAGTTGTGTGCCATAAGACACCTTGATCTTGGCAATAAAATAGTCTTGTATTGTGAAATTTAGTTAACTGATACATCCCATAATTTTAGCAATTCTTTCATCAAAATGCCAACAGACTTCTGCCTTTATTAAAATACTTATTAATGTCATCATAGGTCACGAATCAGATTTTAAGATCACTGCTTCATCTTGACCCTCATTTCGCCATTAGCACACACAGACTCTTCCCAGAGACCTCTTTTTGCCTGGAAGGAGTAGTGAGATCATTCTTGTTACGATTTGACATGCATTCACATGCCACCATTGTCTACTGCGGGATGTACGAAGCTAAAGAAGAAACACTCTGAAGGAAAAAAAAAAAAAAAAGAAACATGCCACGAAGTAAAAGGGCATTTCTAGTCACTGTCCACCTCCTCCATGGACCCACGCTCCGCAATAAAGTTCTCCGGAAGCTGAAACAATGTGCTTAACACATACTGTAAGTCAGCTGGGCATCCTGAGACCTAAAAGGAAGAAAACTAAAGTAAATGATGAGGAAATACTACAGAAATGTGTGCCAGGAGCCTTTGAGTTTAAAGATGGTACAGGCTTTGAAATTTCCATTTTGTTCCATTTCGTGAGATTAATCTTGTCTCACTGAACATGAGGTTTGAAAGGGACAGTACAGTAATAACATATTTTAGACTTCCTTTTTGAGGGTTCCAGACAACGCTGTAGGACCCTAACCAAGTGAGAATCCAGCTAACCTTCTCCTTCCTCAAAATGAGGAGGTGCAGGTAAGAGATCTAAAAAGTTTCTTCTACAACAATTCTGTGCATCAACACTGAACATGCAAAAAAGAGCCACTTTTTAGGAAGCTAAATACAGCTTTTCTTCAGTGGTCTTAGTGACCTGAGACTGGATAAACTGAAGTAACTTTTTTTAAAATATTTTTGTGATAAACTGAAGTAACTTTTAAGAAGAAACTGAAGGTCTCATAAATTTACAACCCACCCAGGCATTGCACAAACTGAAAGCAATCCCAGGCTTACCTGTCACTATGTCCCACAGGTTCTTGCCTTAAGACACAAACCCAATTATTTACTTACACAGTGATTTCAAACAAGTTATTCCACCATGAGCTGCAGACTCTGCTGTTGGCTTTATTGGGGCTAGTTTTCACAATTAAACATTCCTTTGACACTGGATTTATTTGTTTGGAACTATAAATTGTGTTACCTCACCCCATTATTCTACATTATATAGAATGTTAAGGTTTTTAAGGGCTAGAAATGCAGCAAATCAATATTCATTGAAAACTGCTACTAAAATTATTGAAGTATTTTACAGATTTCTCATTAATGCTTGGCAGAGAAAAAATGTAAAACAGTGGTATTCTCTTACAAACTATTAGTAGTATGATTAGTCATTTCTACAACTTACTTTTCACTGCTGTGGTACCTTAGGTACTTACATTTCATTCTCCTTACTTCCCTTTCTCTTATAGTTCAAGGTTTTTTTCCCTTTAAATAGGAGGATATAAGATCTAGTGAAGGATTGTAGCTTCTCATTCTATCAACACAACCCACATGAATTCCGCCTTCTTTTCATATTGCATTTAATGTTTCCCAACACTTCAAAGAAGCAAAAAAGAACCTTTAAACCATGATTTTAATTAAAAGTCTTCATCTAAAAATGTCTCCTCCCCATTCCCTGCTGCCTCATACATTTGAGAACATGCTTGTAGGCTATGCATTGTGATCGACTGTCAACCACTGTCCCTCTGATAATACCACCCTCAACTTGCTAACAGTTATTCAGCTTTGCTCTGTAATCTAACCGTGATTTTTCAAAATTGTTTTTACAGATGTGAGGGAGCATTTGTACTGGAACATAAATAAACTCCTGAGGCATTGCACAGTAGTGATGCAAGTCAATGTCTTTATCACAGGAAGTCTAACAGAGTTCATGGTGTTTACAAGGAAAATACAAGCACTTTGATTATTTTGAATGCATTTCCCCCATAAGATAATACAGAGTCTCCTCCCCAAAAACTGCATACACACTTTGAAGGCAGTGTTTATTAAAATACACTTCATTGTCAAAATGTAATAGAATGTATAGCTCTCAGGTGTTAAAGTGTGTATGCATTTTTTGGGGTCATCCTGTATATGCAGGCTTCCATCATCACACACTTAGCACCCAGCATATAGTAAGCAGTTTTCTGAAAAAACAAAAAACAAAAAACAAACAACAACTGGGAAGTTAGGCTTTTAAATTCATTGGCTTTACTTTTCCATTCAAGTCTCTAAGAAACTTAGCTACCACCTTGCTGATAGGACTGAAAATGACACCCAGCTGAGACCTCTGTTCATTTGCTATTGAATGAATCGTATTTAGTGTTTTGCTATATACCAGGCTAACTTTAAGAATTTGGAGCTTCAACTTGTTGCCACCATGGATTATTAAAAACATTAAAGACTAGATGCATCACAAACTCAAGGTTTAGGTGATCCGTTTTCCTGGAGAAATTATTAATAGCAAAATAGCTCCAGAACTCAAGTGCACTTTAAACAGAAAAGCCTGTACATGCTAAAGGCAGAAGAGCTGGTAAATGTTTAATGGGGGTAGTATCTTTTTATGATGCATACTTCTGGTGAGAAAGAAGGGAGGCCTTGAAAGCAAACCCAAACAAGCTAAGTGTGAGTGTGGACATTTCCAATTCTTTTTTTTAAACTCACTAATTTCTGGGTTTGATTTTTCTTCTCTAAACTTTTAGAAACTTAAAGGCAAGGGACAAAGCACGTGGCTCGAGCCAGCATCCTACCATGTTGCAACAGTGGGTGTTTGGGGATTCTTGCGTCTTCACAAGCTTGTATCTCCATTCTGCTTGAACTCGGATAAAATATTGAGGGTCATGTCTTCACTCTTGGACTGCAAATTTGCCTCGCTTCTTCGGGAAGCTTTCCTGGTCGCCCTGGAGAGCCTCCTTCTGAAAGTGTCTCCTGCCAAGAAATAGAGAATAGGGTCCACGCAACTGTTGAGACTGGCCAGACCTCTCGTCACCTGATAAGTGGCGTACACCCTGTCATTGAAAGCACACATTTCTGGGGTCTGAAAATCCAGCCGAGCCCGCAGATTCATCGTTTTCATGACGTGGAAAGGGATGTAAGACACACCAAACACCGTCAGCACGATAATCACCAGGTAAATGGATTTCCTCCTCAGAGGCGAGTTGTCCAGGTCTTTGTAAATCAAAGCTCTCACAATTAAGCCGTAACAGCCCAGAATCAGCACCAGGGGGATACAGAACATGGCCACGGTGGTGCACATGCTGTAGATGAAATAACTTCGCAGGTACTCGTCAGCGGTGGTGTCGTAGCAGGTGATGGTCTTGTTTTTCCGGACCCCGGTGCCCGAGTAGAAGAGGATGGGGGAGATGCCCAGGACCACGATGAGCCACACCAGCAGGCTGATGTACACGGCGTTCTTCTTCTTGAGCCTGCCCAGCGACTTGAGCGGGTACACCACGCCGCTGTAGCGGTGCGCACTGATGCAGGTGAGGAACAGGATGCTGCCGTACAGGTTCACGTGGAAGATGAACCTCTGCAGCTTGCACATGGCATCCCCGAAGATCCAGTCGGTCTTGTTAAAGTAGTAGAAGATGAGCGCGGGCAGGGTCAGCACGTACAAGAAGTCGGCCACGGCCAAGTTGAACATGTACACGGAGATGCCGCTCCACGGCTTCATGTGGAAGACGAACATCCAGATGGCCACGCTGTTGCCCAGGAAGCCGATGATGAACACCAAGATGTACACGGCCGGCAGGTAGTAGAACTGGAAGCCCGTCTTGGTCAGCACACATCGGAACGAGGCGGCGACCGCGGGGGTGGAGGCGATGGTGCTGTTCCCCCAGGGGGAGCCCGGGCCGGCCAGCAAGGCAGCGTCCGTCCCGTTGGGGACCGCCGACCACAGCACCTCGGCCATTCTCTCGTCCCGGACTTAGGCGGAGGCTCCGAGGGG